TCATCTGTCATCTGAGGCGACCTGTCTGATACACCCTCTTACACTAACCTAGGTTGTCGGCAGCATCCATCGGCTCCGAATGGGTCCGGATCCACTACCATCAGCGGCTTGAACCGTCAGCCATCATGTTGTGTCAGTGGGCCATGGGAACAACGGCGGACCTTCGTGATCTGCAAGCGAACGTCCGATGAATGCACTCGAATGACAAGGCTCAACAGGTCGAAACAGCAGTCTAGTGCTTTTCCGGGCGTGGGATCGCTATCTGATAAGGAAGCTGCTGTGCTGATCCATCAGTTGATTAAGTCAACTATCCCTTATTAACTATCGGCTGTCTTACCTGTGCCGTGTTACTTGAGGAAGTGCATGCATCTGCCAGCTTTCGGCTTCTTTCCGTGCTTTACAAATTGTTGAAGGGAGCTAACTGCTTTAAATTTCTCAAACGAGAAAGTCCCGCTGAAACAGTCAGGTTTCTTCACCACCTAGTCAGCCTGAGGTGCTAACTGGCGTGCTTGCGTATGGAGATATCTTTTCTGTCGAAATGTGCTATTTTACGTGGCTATACTCATTCGCTTCTCACACTGATAATATGAATTAAAATCAAGGCGTCTGAGGCTAATATCAGTCGGGTGGCATCCGCACACCTAGAGAGTAGTTAGATTAGACGTGCGTAACTACAACAAACTCACGGACCTTTATTACCCGTGGTCGAGGACCTGTCTCTGTATTGTCAGATTCTATTCACCAACTTAAGTAAATCCACTCTTGATCGCACCAGACGAAATCAAACGACTCGCCTGGAAAATTCGTTGACGAACAACCGGAAGGAACCAATCACTCGTGATCCCAGTATGTATGTGACGAATCCATCGAACGTGCAACTTGGCACCTTGCAATTAGAAGTATCATTTAGGCTTGATTACAAAGTACACCCAATAAAGTTGATCAGATTATTTATTGAAGCTTAATTCGAGGACTTTTTGATCAGTTTAAGGCGCTTCATGCAAACAGCACTGATAAACTTATATGGTTCAGATACAACTTAACCGATATCGCCCAATTGCTTACAATGATGCCAGTTATTGATAGATGCGCCATCACAGCTCAACATCTTCAGGTCTTACGCGAACTACGAGCCCAGCAGGTATTCGTAATCAGACCAAGTAAAGGCTCCGGCTCGGTGATCATGAACAGAGGCGAATATGATCAGAGAATAGGCGTCATACTCAATGATGCGTGTAAATTCAAACGGCTCAAGAAAGTGGGGGGGGGGGAACATAACAACTCTCGGAGCACGCATAGTTCCTCACCTGGCATTGCTTCTCCTTCATGATGTGATAGATTATATTTTTAATAGTTTAAAGCAGTGATAGTATTATATCACATGTGTATAGGTCACCGAAGACACACTCGGGCGAAGTGCCACTCTGGCGAATCCTTCCGATGATGGACGCGCCCCAGCATAAACAGGATCGTTGGCTATTGAAGTTGCTTTATTTGCTGAAACAGCGGGTCAATCCATACAGTCTTAAAGACTCCTTTCAACTCACTGGTGTTCCGCATGTAATCAATCTGTCATATATAAAGTCGTGTGTTCCTTGGATGTAGAATCCTTCTTCACGAAGGTCTCGCTCCATCAGATGGTTGATTGTATGAGCGAATTAGCCGAACACCCTGGTTGTTCGTTACCACTTCCAAATGAAATGTTGCGAGAATGCTTACTACTGTGCACGGAGAACGTGGATACTCACTTCCGGAATACACCGTACCATCAAATTGATGGCGTAGCAACGATTAGCCCATTTCGCTCTATTCTCGCTGACTTCTTCATGCCGATGATAGAAAGAAGCGTTTTCACGGAAACAGCCACGGTACCCTACTACGTACCATATGCTGATGATACTTTGACCTTTTGTTCATCGAATCAATAGCTCTTACGTTTTCTAGAGCTTCTCAACGGCACACATACTAATTCATGGGTCAAATGCGAAGTAGAGCAAAACCATTGTCTAACATATATTTGGACATTTTCGTCAGTCGAAAGGAGGATAGGTTAAACATTCTTTTCCGGTCAGTACTATCACTTCACAAACTTCACACCAGTGCGGTACAAAATTACAATTGTGTAGACTTATTAGTCGTGCCCGATGAATTTGTTCGGCTGACTGTCTGGACGAGAAGCTAGTGCTAATTACAGCAACACTTATGGTGAACGGCTACCCACAGCTAACCGCGGGCGACGACGGAGTTGGTGCACACGGCAGACAAGAAAAAGTTGTATATCAACTTACCTTTCGAAAGTAATGTAATCACGCTGAAAACTACTAAGCATATAATCTCGACTGCGGCAAAGTAACTGAGGTGTTTTCTACCTTCATCTGAAGTGCGTAATGATAATGGTTATCTATACTCTCGACTCCGCACAGAAGTTACTATACTACGCAAGTTGTCGTCATCAACCGAACCCAACATTTGCCCATATTTCCAACGATGGAAGCTCAGCCTATCGAGGCCAAATCACACTCTACATATCGATTCTTGTATGAGGGAGGAGACAGTTACATAAGCATAACTGATGGGACTCTGACATTCCTAATAAAGGAACACTTGCCGAGTTGGATTCAGCATGAAGCTACCCAAATTCCCCACCACCCACCAATTCCGAGCTCACGTAGCCGCCGGCTTTTTAGATAGACTGACACCTATTTGTCTTGGGTCACCGAATAGAGCTGGGTTCAGCGTTCAAACTTAGGTTGCGTCACGCTAATCCCCACTTTCTTCGGTTTCCAAACGTTGTCGCTATAAGCCAGAGGAACCAAGTCTTGTGCGTTCAAAAACAATTAGTTGTCAGCTTATGGCTGCCCTGGACGTAGAGATGAACTTCCACCATTCGTTCCGCACCTCAAGCTTGTCTAGTTACGCCTACTGTTAGCTATATATTTGCATATCCGTTATTGTTACTGGTACTAAGGAGACAATACGAAATACATGCATCTACTAGCTTTCGTCTACTTCCCGTGCTTTTCAAACCGTTGAAAGGAATAAACTGCACTGAACTTGACCTTGTTAATACACTGTCTTGTGCGGTGAAGTCTTTGTTCTGACGGCCCTGTGCCCCATCAACCGCGATAAAAATACCATCACTCATGCACGGTGTGTTGTGGAGATTTTCGTGAACGGCAAGATTACTTGATAGAAGGCCGAATGACAAGCAAGAATCGTTATCACTGCAAAAATTAACAAGTATGCTTTTAATAGACACGGGGAAAAACACATAAATACCATAAAGCAGACAGGAGCAACGGCTCTCTGTAGTAACTTGAGTGCAGTGTATTTCGAGCACACTCAATAAAGATGGATCGGCGCACAGCACCGATTGTCACAATGTGGCAATCATTAAGTGGATATTGATGGTTATTGTCAATCGGGGGACAAATGCATCATGAACTTGTCCTTGTGGGTCAGATTTCCCTGGCTAATTGTGCCAAGGTGAGTTCATTGGTAGACTTCTACTTGTACAGGAGTGGTTCTTGTAACTGAATCATGACGGACTCTGCATTTTGACCATCCACTTACGAGAGTAGATTGATATGTTGTCTGACGAAGTTCAACTTGTTGGTGCAGCTGATAACGGTGGACCGGGCCGTTATGGAGGAGTTAAACGCGTTTCTGTTTCCCGATATGGGCCAAATATTGTTCCTTCACCAAATAAGATCAACTGGTCTACTTCGTGTTGGTGTATGACGTGTGTTTCCAATGCCACAGGACCACTAGCATTATTGAATACACAATGATTTGATGTGAATAGGTACATGGTTCTCAGCATTCCGTTTAACTACTTGTCTGGCGATCTGCATACGTCATGATCGGGTTAGCTCTATTCGCCAGAAATCTATTGAAGCACAAAAAGATTAGCTGGTAACGATACCAGAGCCCCATAAGCAGCTGATTATGCCGATTTCTCTGAGATACGCGTACTAACAACTACACAAGCGGACGAGACTCAGGCTTCAAACCGGCCGCTTAGGGTGGAGTTTTGGAGATGGATTTACATATCGGAGATCGTTGGATGTAGATCTCTGGAATGGATGGAACGGGCCTGGACGTTTCAGCGCAGTACGATATGCGAACGATCGACTTCAGGACATGCATAGTTGCAACATATACATACAGTTCGGTCTGAATCTGATTGTGTTCCTTTATCGTTCAACAAGGCAAACTGCAGAAACACGCTTATTATAGACTTATTATAGACTTCAGCATTTGAAGAGAGTATCCTCGATTTACTCGATCAGGACCGTAAGCCTTGAAATCAGCTCTGGGCTGTCATGGCTTCAATTTTATGTTAATACCAGAGATAGCAGTTAAACCAGGGATAGAGGAGATTTATCTATGATGCCTACGAATTAGGATAGTGTACACCCCACAGTAAAGTTGAAGCGAACAGATTAGTCATTCTATCGGTTGGCCTTTAAACCCTGATCAGTTTACACCGCCAACTCGTGAACCGACTTACATGCATCACTGCGATCGTTGTCTACCACCATCTAAGCATCCGATGGCTCGGTAAGCAACAGCTCCTCATTCGTCGATCCAATGTGACTCAGTTTCACACTGCCATAATTTAAAATTGACATACCGTCTGGCCATAAACCCAATATCTGCTCTTCGGTTGCAGACCCCTCGAATTCCAAGCAACAATGGAACCTGGAACAGCTAGCCTCGTCCACACCGTCAGCTAATTTCGTCGGTTTTGCGTCAGATATCTCACAAGGTGAAGCTCGCCTATGGTAACCGGTGCTTCTGATAGAGTAGTATTCACAAGGCACAATTCGATGCATCCTACAGTGCGGCTCTAATTATTCTCAGCTTGGTACCGATGCGCGTGAGTGTCAGTCTATCGTAACGAGAAGACGTGGGTGCAGCATACACGGTTGATAGGTTTTGTCGAGCGCAGTGTTTATAACATTTGGCGTTGACATTAGACAGCTCCACATCATGTGTGCAGACGGACACCATGTTTATCGATCATTGCTTCTAGTGGTTTTAGCAACAGTTCTGCATGCACATTACGGTGTTGCAGGTAGTCCGATACATTCAGCTGTGTGAGGCGGAGTGTTGTATGAGTCAGGTAAGCCAATTTGTCACTCCCAAGCGTCTGTCCCAGTTTTGAGTAATTCTAATTTTTATGTCCGCCACTTTCATATGAGACCCCTGATTGTAAACTGATTGAGGAACATAAATAAATAAATACATAAATTGTATATTCTTCGATGATGCGAGAAGCTGTTCTGTAGAAGGAACAGATCAAATAATGGTACAACTTTTCCATGACATTTCATCAATACATTTTCAGAGATAAACATGGGCGCAATTGCAAATTAGGTCACACAGAGTAATCAGAATCGTTACGCTATTCTTCCTGCCATTGAATCAAGATTCTTCACAATCACATGACAGATATTTGGGCTGAGAGAAAAAAAGATGTAATGAAAGGGGCTGTTGTCCGAAATGTGTGTGTGTGTGTGTGTATGTGTTACCGAAAGTTATTCAGGCACCATGGATACCGTTTTCGAATGCGTTATCTAGGGACTGTGATGTCCCGAACATCTTAATCACGTTTTGGGCGGTTAGCTGCTTACTAATCGCAAGCTTAAAATTGCAAAGTGTATAGCATGTTCTGGAATCACTTGGAAGTTTGTTCCAAATCTTAGAGTATTGGGTTAGAAAGAAACGTTCTCTGATTATCGTAGTAAATTTTGGATTCATGATCGTTACCTCTTTGTTACGTATTGGGTATCTGCTGTTTGCAGATATGTGAACACCGTTTTCAAGACTGCGAATCCGACAATTTATTATTCTGTAAATAAAACATAGGTTCAGCTTCCTTATCCGAAGCCAAACTGGGTCAAATCCAAGTTTGTCACATCGCTCCCTGTATGTCAACTTTGAGGAATATCCACATAGCTTTTTCTTGAAGCGTCTCTGGACCCTCTCAAGAGTGTGCTGGTCAGATTTCCGTAGATTAGACTGTACCATAGAACAGTATTTCATACACTGTAATTCATATGTTTTGTAAAGCGATATTCGAGATTCCGTGAGGTAAAAATGATGGCAGATGTAACCGATGGTCTTCATGTCTTTCGAAACGTGGAAGTCACAGTGTTCAGAAAAGTTAAACATAAATGAATATCGCACGCCCAAGTCGCGAATCGTCCTGGATTGCGAGATATATGCACATTGTAGTAATAAACTCTCTGGCGGTACTTAGCATTTGTACGACAAAATATTACATTGGTCCACGACAAATGACATCTGCCACAGTTGGCACCAGGAGTCAAGGGCGGATAGGTCATCTTGAATGAGACGTACTGCTTCCTGAGTATTTGCACGTGGTTGTGAGTAGACAACTTTAATGTCATCAGCAAAAATAAATGCAACACCATTTCTTATTCTCTGGAATATATCGTTAATATAAATTAGAAAAAGAAGTGGACCAAGAACACTCCTTTGAATCACTCCACTAATGATTGATTTCGGTTTAGAGAAATGGTCGCCTATGCGTACAACCTGCTGTCTACCAATTAGATATGAAGACAGCCAAGAGAACATCGGTTCTCCAATGCCTATAGCCTTTAGTTTGTTTAGTAACCTTCTGTGAGGCACTCTATCAAAAGCTTTTCGCATATCCAGGAACAGGATTACGACACTGTTTCCATTGTCAATGGCAGTTGTTGTTTGGTTTCAAAAGTCAGTCTGGCATTTTGCGCAGGATCGACCTTGCATGAAGCCGTGTTGCGAATTGCTGATGATGTTAGCTTTGTTCAAGAATAAAATAGTTCATCTTTCACTCTCCTTTCCATTATTCTAGATACGATTGGTGTGTGATTGATTGGATGAAAATTTCTAACCTCTTGGGCAGCGCCCTTTTTATGTCGCAAGATAACAACTGAAGTTTTCCAATCAGTAGGGTATACTCCGTTGTTAAAAGACAGTGTAAAGAGGTTAAGCAAAAGCAGAAGGAAGTCACTACCACTGCGTTTTATTATACATGGGGGAATCCATCAGGGCCTGCGCACGTTGAGGAGTATAAGCGAGCGACTTGACCAGTGACTTTCGCTATAGTAAATTCTACTGTGCATAGACCTTCATTATTTTGCGGCGTGATAAATGTTGGTGTGTCTGATGATTCAGTGAGCATTGATTCGGCAAAATAAGCACTGAAAGCTTCGCAGATATCATCTGGTGCGTCGTAGTATGTTCCATCAGGCGTGGTGATAAAACTGAGATTGTCACTGCAATGCTAACCCCGGGCACGGAATAGTTTGGCTAGCTCAGCTGTTTTGCTAGGGCCATTCAGAGCTTTACACTCTTCTAGAATGAGAGTTTTGTCTCGTTGATGCCTCTGTTCTTCCACGAGCTTCGACTGCTGTAATAATAGCGCAAAGTCAGCAGTTAACCTGAATTTCTGCCGAATCTTATGAAGCTTTCGCGCTGCCTTCAATGCTTTGCGATCGGATCTAGGTTTGGTTTGGTAAACACATTTTCGTGGTACTGCTGGATCGATGCAGAAGCAAATTATACTATACAACAGGTCCGTCGCATATTGAGGACATGAATATAGAAGGAATTTATTACAATTCATCGAACGAACCAGGTCCTTGAGTGAGTCCCAGTTGACAGAATTGAACAGACGATAATGCTTTGTTTTCTGTACACCGGCCACGCGTAGTCTTAGACAGCAGTTGATTACGCGATGATCGCTCCTTGGAAATTCAGCAAGAATGTTTACACTGATTGCAGGTATGCCCAATGAAAAAATAAGATCCAGAGTACTTTCACCTCTGGTAGGTTGGGAGACTTGTTGCTGCCAACCATTCGTTTGGATACAGGAGATAAGATTGTGATATTTCAAAGGAGCGAGTCCTATTGGCCATGAAATCGAAGGCAGATTGAAATCACCTCCAATAATCTTATGTATAAATGGTAGGCCAGCGGCGCATTCAAATGCAAGCGTCAAAAGTTCTAGGTCTTCTTGACTGCCGTTTGGCGCGCTGTATATACATCCCATAAGCAGCTGTTGCTGATTAACAGATATCGTCAACCAGAGTGATTCCTGAACATTGCTCAACACTGGGTTATCGAATGTTGCTGCTTTGAGCGAGTTTTTCAGATAAATTACGCAGCCACCACCTCGACGACCAGGCCGATCCCTCATATACTTGTTATATCCGAAAATAGTTAACTGAGTGTCAGACGTGCCAACATGGCACCAAGATTCAGTTATAAATAATATATCAGGATTATTCACCAAAACAAACGAAAGTAGAGTGTGGATCTTCGAGTAAAGAGAGCGAATGTTTATCAAAAATACTGAAATAGATGTGAGATATGAGGAGGATTCTTTTGGTTGTCTTATAAACACTGGGGTTTCAAGACGTGTGCCAGGACCCAGGTTAGAAATTGTTGCAAAAGGGCGCGTATTGCCAACGGTGGAAAATGATTTGGAGGTAGCCACATCGGAGGGGTTCAGACTGAGTATGGCCCTCTAGAAAATGGTTCGAGGGAAAAGTCCATGATTACTGCAATAGCATGTGGGAGCTAGAGAGTTAGGTTGTATCCTCTGCATCATGTCGCTAATAGGCTGTTGATTACGTAACGCATTGTCAGGATTCAGTGGATTGCTGTTATTTCCATCTATGGGCAAAATCCGCTTACTTGCGCTCGATATACAAGGATTCACTATAAGCAGTGGAGGCACACTGGTGTCAATCCATACACCAACATCAGCATAATCCATGTGGTTATTTCATGGGTTTGGAACGTCATGATACCCAATTACACCGTGTGTAAGGTGCAAAGATAGCGGCACGTCTCCCATAAATTTATGATCAATGGGTGTATGTCTATCCAAACAAAATGACGATACAGAGTCGGCCAATGATGCTTGCGATAAATCTAGGTCAACCGTCCTTTTACTAGCAATCAATTTGACTGGATCCATCGAGATTATCGATGAGGTTGGACACTGGCCAATGCAGAATGTAGGCGGGACATGGCAGTTCGAGGCTTGAGGTAGCGATTTTACATGCAACTGGGATTCAGCAGGTAATGCAGTTGTTATTCGCTGATCCCCAATGTTGTCACAGCGTACAGGAAAGAGTATTAGGAAACCCTATATAACTGGCAGAACTGATTATCCAAGAGGAAGCACCATGTACATCACTAGTTTTGTGGATTTTAGTCGTTTTGGGCTTCGTCGGCTTATCACGCTTAGCCGTGAAACTGTGGCCTAGTGGAGGTCCTCCAGTAACTAATTTTGCATCTGACGTTGACCTTAACTTCAAAGGGTGAGAATTAGGTGTTCTACCGGACACAGCATCTAATGCAATAAAGTGGCCCGCATATTCTAGTGATTCCTTGTTAATTTCACAAATCACTTGCTCATTCACCGCTTCGTCCCAATTTGCAGCAAGCGGAGTATTATCCTCACATTTGTGCTGGCCACTAAGTGGAGTAATATCAACTGGGTGAGGGGCGCCATTTGGCTGTTAAGTATTCTGTTTTACCTCAGACGTTCTCCTCCTTATCTCTCGTTGTAGCGGGGTTTTGTCCTCAACAATTTTCAGACTTTTGAAAGTCGTATTAGACACGAGATTGCGCTTTTGAATAAATCGTTTAGCGATAAGTTTATTTCGAAACTGGAAAAGCATGGGACACGCGTAACGCATTACAATTTTTCGTAGTCGACGTATGTCGACAGAATATATCGAGGTTTTGTCCCCTCACACTTAGTGCACAGGCTGCAGTGCAACTCAACTGTCAAAATCACGATATCTATCGTCAAAGAATGAACTACGTTTGTGAATTTATTGCTTAAGAGTTGGATCCCAGATGTATTCGAATTGCTCCTTTGAGTACCGTGGATTCATCCCTGCCCCTTGACAAAATTACGGTCTTACGGAAGTTCCTTTTCTCATACCGTGCTTACTCGGATTGCTCCACTCTTCTATGATTAACACTTACGGAACTAGATTTAACACATGTGAACTCTCATTTTACTCAAGTTTACCAAACAGCATGACGCATAGGTGTATCTCGGTCTGCATTATATTGTGACCAGTGTCAATT